TGGACGAAGGCAAGCCCGGACTGCAAGCCGAGGTTCAGGAGTACCTCAGCCAGGCCGGAGTGGCCGTGAAGCCCTACAGCAGCTTCTTCAGCGACATTGCCCTGGAGCTGGGTGGCTATGGGTCAAAATGAAACCACCAGCAGGTTTTGGTCCATGTTTCCACAAGGCAAGCCATTTGGGGTACCTATTTATTTTGCCCCAGCCAGGTGATCAGAAGGTCTTCCTGGAGTCCTCCTCCTCCTCCCTGGCCTTGAAAAGTCTGGTGCGGCCCGAGCTGCGCGTCCAGGGCCTGTCGCCCGTGGAGGACTTCAAGGCTTGCAAGAACGCCGTGGAGATCCAGGGCCTGCGCCGCGCCTGCAAACGCGACTCCGTGGCGCTCTGCGAGCTCTTGGCCACGCTGCGCCGGAAGCTCTGCGATGCCAAGCCGGGGGAGCAGCCTGTGAATGAGGTTGGGGGGTTATAATATATATATATATATATACATATAATATATATATATGTATATATATATATATGTATATATGTATTTCTTTTTTGGCGGAGCTTTGCAAAAGTTGGAGGGTCATTTTTTTCTAGAACCCCAGGTGGATGTCTCCGAGATGATGACAGAGCTCCGGAGCAAGCAGCCTTTGTACGTGGGCGACAGCTTCCCGACCATTTCTTCCTCTGGGTCCAACTCTGCCGTGGTTCATTACCAACCCGAGCGGGAGAACTGCAAAACTCTTTCGCAAACCGAGATGTATTTGATTGACACTGGCGGCCAATACAAGGACGGAACTACGGATGTCACACGCACTATGCATTTTGGAAGCCCCACTGCTGAGCAAAAGCGCTTTTACACTCGGGTGCTTCAAGGCGCGCATGCTGCATTTGTGTTAATTACTGGTGGTTGATTGTTGGTCGTTGATTCTCAATGTAGACATACTCATGGACATGCTAAAACTGCTAAATGCGTGAGGGGACGACTGGCCCGGTCTTAGCGCGAATGTGCCCCCCCCCCCCCAAACAAAAAGGCGAACTGTCGAGACACGACCAATTTTACAACAGACCTGTGAATTGCTGGCACTTTGAAGCAACCAACTTTTTGGCGCAATGGAGTATGTTGTTTGCAGTCATGCAAAGAGGAATGAAGTTGCAGAGGCATGATAGCCTCAAGGATAACTCAATCTTATGAAGCTAGACAACATGGGACTGGCAAGTCACCACGGGTCTCCAGCAAAAGGTAACAATGCAATGACTGACGACAATTCAGTTTCCAATAATGTACATGTTTTACATGTTTTTCCTCATTTAATTTCCATAGCATGACATAGCAGCATCGTGTGGGGCTTGAGCAGGTTTGGGAGCTGTCCCCTTCCAGGGGGACAAAGGGCCCAAGCCCAGAAAGATTGGATTTGCCCGCGGTGCAAGCTTGAAGCTTGATTCCTATGGCAGCACACCGCACAATCACTCCAGCTGCCCAAACATTTACTGGAAAGGACCTGGACATAATATGGGCTGGTTGACTTTCGTTCTGCGATTTCATGTCACTCCCTGTCACATGTTGTTTTGTGGGAGCCTGTTGTTTTCAACAAAACCAAGAAGCCCAACAACCTTTTGGGTGTGTCTCACAGCAGAACCAACCCCAAAATGGCAAGGGTTTCCTTTTTGGTCTCACCAACCTAAGGGTGCCCTCCAAAAAACACCCAAAAAGTGGGGGGGAAGAAATGGGGGGGGGGGAAATGGGGGGGAACTGGGGGGGAAATGGGGTGGGGGAGGGGGGAAATGGGGGGGAAGAAATGGGGGGGGGGGGTGGGAATGGGGAAAATGGGAGCAAGGGCCAGATGAAGCGTCGAGGCCACCTCTGCCTGGCCTCCGCGGTCTTTCCGGAGGGCACCAGCGGGCTGCTGCTGGACGCCTTTGCGCGGCGGTTCCTGTGGCAGGAGCGCTGAGACGTGACGTGACGTGACGTCGAGCGAGCGGCTGGCGGCTGGTCGACCGCCCCCCCACGGCTCAACGGAATCCGGTGGTTTCCTTGTAAATAGTAAAGCAAAAGGGGGGTTGACCGTTTTTGAGAAAAACCCAGGGGCCGAAGTACTAAAGCCTTGGCCCTGTCCTAACTTCGTGCTTCAGAACAATTCCCCCGCACCATTCTAATGACTCAGGCCTTAAAAGTGCCATGCTGGACAACACCCCTTTGGGCCTTCCTGAAGTTTTCGTTTCGGTGGCAAAGGGAGCATCCAGGACGGGCTCCAGTTCGGCCACGGCACCGGCCACGGCATCGGCGCCTACCTCAACGTGCACGAAGGCCAGCTCAAAAGCTTTCCAACGAGTCGGGGAGACGCGACAGCCGTGAGCATTGCCAAGTAAGGCTGGATGGTCAAGCCAAACCACCACTATCTCGACATGTTGAGTTGCAGTCAAAGTTGCCTTATCCCTGGACGACGGAGGGGCTCTTGCTGGAGGATCCTCCTCATGCCAAAGGAGTGTTCACCGAAACCAATACTAGTATGTTCGGGTGAGTTCAACATGCTTTTGACCGTTGCTTGTTGATAGCTGTCTGAATTGCTGTCTGCAATTGCAACAAGCCCCCCACGCATGTTCTCCGGCGGCTCCTGGAGAACGTGTGACTTTGATGATCAGAGGTCATGCTGCTCGTCATTCTCCGGCCGGCTGAAGCAAAGTTTATGTTGGAATCTTAGTCCAAGCTCTACAAAGACAGCTCCCCCTGACCTCGCTAGAAATCCGGTCCACTCGTTCGCTCTGCCCCCCCTCCCCACCCGATCCGCCAGGGCCCATCCTCATTGGTGGCGGCAGCGTGCCAGGGGACAAGATCCTGGCCAGCGAGCGCCGGCGCCGCGCCCTGCTGCTGCCGTTCAAGGCTGGGCACTTTGTGTCCGACGAGCCGGGATGCTACAAGGCGGGAGGTCGGCACATCGCGACGTGTCGCGCACTGCCCCCCGGAGAAATTGAGACGATGGCAACAAAGCGCCAACTAAAGAAATGCGTCATTTTTTTGGCGTTCTGGGAGGAGACACATGCTTCTTGACACGGCCAGTCAGGCTTCTTAGAAGCAATGATCCCCAGCCAGCCTGAATAGCAGCCTTGCGCGGTGGTCTGAGTGTAGAAGTTCAAAAACAGCCATTTGCTCCATGGTTTTGTTCACCAATGCAAATGCCCAAGCATTATTGTTTGATTATTGTGTAGCCAGAAATATTTTTTGTGCTGCACTAGTCTCGCATGGCCCCTGCGTTGTGCCCTGAAGGATGGGGAGTTCGGGATCCGCATCGAATCAGACATTTTGGCGGTACCAGCAGACCTGCCCTACAGCATGGGCGCTCAGCCCTTCTTGAAGTTTGACTACCTCACGCTGGTGCCGATGTGCCGCGATCTCTTAGACATGTCCGCTTTGCGGAGTTTGGCACTCCTTTTGCAGGTTGGTTTTGCACTGGGACACAGGTTTGTTTGTCTTGAGTGGGACATAGGAGGCTTTGGCCGCCACATTCGTAAGCTGCTTCAAGGGAGCCCCAGTATTGTTGGGTGTTGGGGGAGGTCTTATGTTTCGAAAACCACACGTCTCTGCGATTTTTGTTGGGCAATTTGTCCCCAGACGTCAGGTCCATCCTGTCAGCGTCTGATGTGCAGTGGCTCAACGAGTACCACGCCCGCGTCTGGGAGGAGCTGAAGGAGAGCTGGCCGGAGGGCGCCTTGGCGCGGGCCTGGCTGTGGGAGGCCACGCGGCCCATCCCGTGAGACACGCGGATTTGAAGACGTGACCAGTCAGAGGTGTCCGGCAAGGCGAGGGGAAGGCGGACGTCAGCCGAAAGACGTGAGGGCGGCGGATGGAGAGGGAAGATGCAGGTTGCCACAGCATGCCTGCGCAGAAAATGGTGCGCCAGCGCAGTGGGGGCAGTGTTTCCGGCAGGCAGCTTCATGGACACAGCCTTATCAGTTGGTTTTCCAGTCACCTGGGTGTGGGTCAAAATACAACCACCAGGGGACCGCAGGTTTTAGTCTTTGCTTCCATTTACCAGGGTTCCATTTTGGGTACGCATTTGTGACCCACAGTCACCTGGTGCTTGCCGGAGGTGGTGCTCCTTTGCTGGGAGGAGTTCCGGCGTGACGCCTGGAGCTCAGATGTGGCAGAAAGGAGATGGCCCGGCGTCGTCTCTTTTTGGTTTAATCAGGGTAGCTTTTGCACCTGAGCCACAATCAAAGCCCGGGTAGATGCAGGCTAGCAAGGGACAATCCCAACCATAAATGGCTGCGGCCGCCTTCTTAATTCTCTACATGGTTCTGGGTCGACTCTGTTAGTACCGGGTTTTGATTATGACACACCTTGGTTTCCGGGGAAAAGAAGGAGAACCTCCGGGATATCCCTTTAGCGCATAGATGGCATATCTTGACGCTAGCCTCAGGGCCCATGTTGGGGGAGGACCCACGACACGAAGCAGCACGTTGGCACGCAGGAACCCATGGAAGCCACGAGTGGAGCGCAACTCGAGCATGCAAATTTACTTGCTATTTCGGATTTTTCGGTGATAGTCAGTGGAGATCCGGCGCCAGAAAGCCTCTTTCCACGCAGCCTCGCGTGAGCCTCTGCTTTAGAGGTTGAGAGTTGGACTGAATTTCGCACAGGTTGCAAAGCCAGAGAAAGTATGGAAGTGCGCCAAGCAGAAGCCCCATTCCACACTTGCCATCTTTCGGGCAACTGTCGTTTGAGCTTTCCACTCTCGCAGTGTGAGGTAGAAAGCCTGCAGAACCTGCTCGACACCCTTTGGAAGAGCTACACGGAGGCCGAGCTGCCGCCGCACGGTAAGAAAGCTGCCGTGCACTTGGAAAGCCGCCCTGCGCTGAAGTTGACTCATGGACCCACCCTGGGATACTTCAAAGACTCCAAAGAATGGGTGCGTGGAACCATGGAACAAGTGACAGAGGGCACAATTTCGACGATAGGCGGCACCAGAGGCACCCGCGAGCCCACAAGATGCCTGCGCAGGAGACTTCGCACGACAGCACAAAGGCGCTCAGCTCAGCCTCTGTGACTTGGGCGCTTTGCTGGATGCATGCTATAAAACAGAACTGACTGATTCTGCATTTGGGTCTGTCTTCGTTTTGGGGGGTACCCGTTTTAAAGGGGAACCAAAAGGAAACCCAGCCATTTTGCGAACTCCCTTATTTAAAGACAACCCCATTTGCATAGAATGCGGCGCGACATGAGAATTGCTCATCAAAGTTCTGGGTTGGTACAGGTTCTTGCTCATCAGTTGTCAGATGAGTATGAAGTGGTGAAGTTGCCTCGTACTTGCGCAGGTGGGTGACTTGCTGGTGGATTATTGGGTGGAGGCCGGGCCATTCCCAGATGGCTGCAGAAACTCTCAAAGCATGGTGCTATCCTGTGACAAATCACAAAGCATGCTATCCTGTGCGCCTAATCAAAGAGACCTTGGGACAATGCCATGCTTTCACAGTGTTGCATTGACTCATAGCCAGTGATGCTCTACAAGGTCACTCTGTGTTCCTTTGCCATTTACGTTTGACTTTGCCGGACGACCCCAAGCCCCCGAGTCAAAGGTGTGAAGGAAATGAAGGAAAGAGCACCGGCAAAGAGGCCCTGACATGAAGCCGACCACACCCAGAAAACGGCTTCAATGCCCCTTTTGCTTGCTTGCTTGCTTGCTTGCTTGGTTGGTTGGATTCCCTTCACTCGCCTGCCCCTTTGGTTTTCTCTTTATAGACTCCGCCTTTGCCAGGTGCTGAACTACCGGCTCAGCGCTGCCGGGTGGATCTCCAAGGTGGTCGTGGAGCAGGCCGCCTGGAGGGAGCGTTGCGCTCCAAATACGTGGGTGTGTCTCTTGGGGGGGGGGGAAACCACCAAAAGGGTGAGTCTCGAAATATGGGGCTGCCCCAAAGATGGTTGGTTTCCTTTTGGAGTTCCTTTGAACCACCATCTACAAGGGCCTCCTTATTTTGAGGCAGACCCCAAAAGCGGGTGGTTTGCTTGTGTCAGCTTGTGGCCACTCTGTAAAACTACCCCCGAAGAAGAGTTCCGTCGGAAAACCCTTCGACACCGGTGTTCAATCCGAAAGCCCAGTATATAGATGCATTCCGATCCTCAAGCTGCGGATTTGCGATCCAGGCGTCGCAGCCCTCTCAGCCACAGCCTCAGCCTGGCAGCGGGCAGGGTCCTTCTGTTTGGCGGTGATATGTTGGGGACCTCAGCTCAACGGTTGACCGGTTGACTATGTTCACTGTTCTACTGCCGAGTGGATTGTGTGGAAAATAAGCTCAGATGATATCCCCAACAGCATGCGGTGCTCTTTTTTGTGCTCGCACCACCCCGCAGCCCTCGCAGAACCTCGTGGAACCCTGGTGGAACCCTCGTGGAACCTTGCGTCAGGGCCGCCCCGGACCACCCCAGAGCCTATCTGGTCTGAGACCCCAAAGCTTTCAGCTGTTGGGGAAGAAATATCAATTGTTCGCAAACTGGTCAAGATTTGCCTCAGCACAGCAGCCATGGTCAGTGCTTTCGAGTCTGAACTGACAATTCAGATTTCCAATGGTTAGTTTGCCGTATGTTGCCATTGTTTCTCTTTTACAACTAGTCATTGCCTGTAATATGTGCCTTTCGAGGGTGTCCAAACATCGCCGTTGGGCAACAATGGGCTCCCACCCAGACAATGCGGCCTCGTTGCGGTGCCTGTTTTGCAGGCGCCAGCAGCGGCGGCAGGAGCGGGCATGGAGCAGTTGGAGTGCAATTGCATTTGCTCATGGAGTGGGACTTGGGAATATCCTTGAAGCCTGTTTCACAGATCCAGATATTACAAAAGCATGTAAGTCACGCATTTCCTTCCCAAATTTACACCTGCAGACAGTGCTGTATTTTTTGTAAAGGTGAAGTTTGCTTCTAGTCCTGGTGATTCTTCATGACTACCGGAGTTTGTCTTTCTGGCCAAGCCTGCCAGATCCGGGTGTCCGCCTTTTGCGAGGTGAGGCAGCAGCAGCGAAAGCGGTTGAAGGAGCTCAGCTCCTAGAGTGCGTCGAACAGCGGAGTGGCAAGTGGCCTTCGCCAGACAGGTCCTGCCGCTGCCAACATGTGCTTGCAAAATAGAGTAAGGGTCCAAGGAATTGTCACTTCCAGTTGCCCCAAAGAAGTCACCCAATTTGGGCAACGTGAGGACTGAGCAAGCGCTTGCTTGAACAGCTGATCGGCATAGTCCGGAGTTTGTTGGTTATTTAGGTTTGTGTCGCAATAGAAGAACCCCGAACTAACCCCACAAAAAGGGGCCCCGCCTAAGAAGCGCGACTCCATGTATCAAGCAGTTTCCTTGCAGTCCAAGCCCTAGGCGCAAACAGCAGCGAGAGCAGCTTGGTGAGCAGGAGGGCAGTTGCATTTGATTTGGAGCCACCGGGTGATGTGGGCGAGTCATATGCCAATCTACACGCGGTATGTGTCAAATTGGGGGGACCCCAAAATACGTTGGCTTTCCTTTTGGTTGCCCTTCAAACCACCCTCAAAATAAGACCTGTTTCGTGTCTTTCTAGCTCAATGTGGATCCTAGTCATCAAATGCAAACTTCCAAAGGCAATGAGTGAAACATACGCGTGGCTAGGTTCTTCAATAAGGCAACTCCGCTTTGTAAATGATGTCCACCAAAGCTGCAGCCATGACAATCTATTTCATTGGCTGTCTTCGGTCCATGATATGATCAGACCTTGCCTGCGAAGAGGATACAACTATCTCGCCAAGCCAGCGGGACCAGTTGGATTCTGAGGAGAGGGATTTGCACCATGGGTGGCAGAGCCAACTTTTGGGCAGGTGGATCCTTGAGGTTTCTCTTCAACAGCCGCCATAGCCTCCATTTTTAGACCCATCCGTAAGGCACAACTTCCAGTCTTTCTGCAGGCTCCATTCCTGCGCAACGCACACACCACTTTGCACTTCGAGTTGGTGGTCGTTCACTCATGCCGGTATTGTGCAAGCTGCTCCACAGTTGCGTTGACGCAAAGTGGATGAAGACTAATGGCTGTTTGATGCCAGGCAACACTCTCGTCACCCACACTGAAGATATCTGAATCTGCGCAAAACGTGACAAGCTCACCAGGCAGACCCTTCAATGCAGAACGCCAAGTTCATTGAGAAGCCCGTGCCATTGGCGAATCTGTGCGTTCGCCTGCGTTTGCCAGGAGGCTCTGCAGGAGCCGTTCGCAGAGTCTGAAGTCCAGGAAGTCGCTGGCGCCCCGGATCGTTTCAACGTAGGGGGGGTGTGGTTGGCACGGTATCCCTTGACCCTGAGAGAAGCTAAAGTTGTAGCATGCGAAGAAGTTTTCGTGGCTGTGGCTACATGGCCAGCGCCTCTTGAACATACGTATATCCTAACATGTTCACACACACACACATGCGTCGGTTTGATGCGGGGTATTTGCGGATGAGATGTTCAGAGTGGAAACAACTTGTCTAGAGCTTCATTTGAATTCCTGTAAAAGCCAAGACACGAGCAGGATCCAATTTCAGAGTGTCTGCCACTTGAAAGGGCCTACCAAAGATTGATAGCATGCTTTCCCTTCCTCTTGGTTGATAGGCCCTTGGCGTCAGTCCCTCCATCCGTCTTGAAAAACGGCCGAGACCTTGCGATGTGCCGGCTTACCCGAGGCGGCTGGCATCTTGGAACAAGTCACCTCGCACAGTCTCGGGCCCAGCTGCAAGGCCGTCAAGCACCGCAATCCCGTGAAAGGAACATTGCTATGGCAGCTATTTGGGTGTGGGTCACAATAAAACCACTAGGAGACCGCATGTTTTAGTCTTTGGTTCCATTGGCCAGGGTTCCATTTTGGGATATTTTGGGTACGCATGTTTTGACCCACACCCATTCTTGGCGAGTTT